TGATGGATGGATGATGGGTGGATGGATGATGGATGGATGATGGGTGGATGGATGGATGATGGATGGATGATGGATGATGGATAGATGGCGGATGGATGGTGAGTAGATGGATGGATGGGGATAGGTGAATCAGTGGATGGAGGGGTAGCTGGATTGGTGAGAGTTTAAGTTGCCCGCTCAGAGCTTGTCCACGGCAGAGCTGGCAAGGGTCCGCTCCCCATCCAGACTCTCCCTACTTCGTGTCTGTGGCCTGTCTTCCTTCACTCATCCATCACATCTCCATGGCAACCGTTCCAACATTTATTTCCTAGCCTGGTCCTTCCCCTGAACCCCAGTAAATTGTTTGTTTGTTTACTTAGAATGACATTAAATAGCAAATGAAAAACACCATGAGTCAGGAGGATGGGACGAGGCCCCAGTGAGCCCTGCAGACCTGGAGTTCAGGGACTCCCAGGGTTCTTGACCATTCCATTACGTCGCTCACAGCAGACCATTGAAGGCACCTGGGGTTATTCCTTTGTTCATTCATTCGTTCATGCATTCATTCACTGAGCAGCATGTCTTGTGCCCCTTCAGCAGCCCGGAGACAGGACTCAGGAGGCTGAGGTGAAGCTCACAGCCAGAGCGGGCATGCGGCAGAGACGGCAGCTGGGACTATGTGTGGCATTACAAGAGCTTCCCGTCACTAGCATGGCAGTGCAAGGTAAACAGCACGAGCAGAAAGTCCCTTCTCCTCCCTGTGCCTCAGTTTCCCTCATGTGAAAACAAAGAGCATCCCTCCAGCTCTGACAATCGGGCTCTGGGCCTTACCGTCCCCAGCACAAGATCCCTGGAGGCCTCCTGCCCTTCCATGCAGGAGAGTGTGGGCGCCCCCTGGAGGGAGCCAGGGGAAAGGGGCCGGGCCTTCACTCCCCTTTATTTCAACATCTCTGGGGCGTTAACTATTGCAACCTCTATGGAAGGCAATACAGCAACAGTTTCAGAGCTATGAGTGCACGTACCCTTTGACCCTACCATTCTACTTCTAGGAATTTATTCTACACATATCCATACACATGCGTGCAAGGTGGTGGAGTTAATGTAGGTACAAGGCCGTCCACTGAGTAAAAAAGTCGGGTCAGCACAGTGGACCCGAGATGCTGAGCAGTCATAGGAATGGGGTTCTTTAGGAACTGCGCAGAGCGGGCTGGGCTGGGCTGCTGTCCTCACTGGGTTCCCAGCAGCAGCCATGAGGTTTTGGGTAAGTGGGGGTGGGGGTGCAGGGCCGGGATGGGGAGGGCCCCATGTATGGGTTTCTCTCAGGTGAAGCTGCGGGAGGGGCCCAGCCTGACCCTGGAGGGGACCCTGGAAGGTAAGTTATGCTCCTACCAGTTGGGGGACCAGACACGGGGTGCTCCAGGAAAATCAGAATGTCCAGCCGCTTCTGACTTGCTGCATGTGTTGACAAAGCAACCTCTGGTGGCCCAAATAGTTCTGCACATAAGAGCTTCAGGTGCTGGCCCTTGGGAGAGAAAGCACCCCAAACCAGGAGAGGAGTGTGTGCACACATGCACTCTCAGGGGACCCAGGCAGAGCACCAATACCATCTACTACAGCCATTAAGGGGAAAAGCAGGTGAAGAACAGCATATAGAGGCTGCAGTCTGGGACGAAGAAAGGTCAGAGATACGTACATACTGTGTTTGCTTGTCACTGGAGAGCATAGTGGGGGCCCCAGGAAGGGGGTTGGGGGACAGGGCAAGTGACTTACTTACTCCTTGTCACCCTTCTGTACTTAAAATATTTTTGTCACCATGTACAGCTTTTACCTCCTCAAAAAATAAGACCACATGAAAAGTTCATCTTGCCATGTTCATGGATCAGAAAAACAGACTCTATGCAACCCCTATCAAAATCCCAGCCACCTTCCCTTGCAGAAACCGACAAGCTGATCCTAAAACTCACATGGAAATTGAAAGGACCCAGAACAGCTGGAACAATTTTGGGGGGGGAAAAAAATTGAAGAACTTACATTTTTTCATTTGAAACGTTACTAGGAAGTTATGGTAATCAAGGCTTGAGACTAGCATGAGAATAGACGGTAGATCAACGAAATAGAATTTAGGGTCCAGAGATAAGCACTGACACTTGTGGTGAATTGATTTTTGACAAAGGAGCCAAAACAATTGAAGGGGGTGGGGGAAGAATAGCCTTTTTAACAGAATGGTGCCACATGCAAGTTCTTCATTTGCATGTGAACAACTGGATGTTCACATGCAAATGAAGAACTTGGCCCCCTACCTCACACCATGCACTAAAATTAGCTCAAAACCCATCAAAGATCTACATGTAGGAGCTAAAACTATAAAACTCTCAGGAGAAAACATAGGTAACTCTTCATGATCTTGGATTAGGCACCGGTTTCTTAAATATGTCACCAAAGCACAGGGAAAAGAAGAAAGGAATAGGTCTTCATCAAAGAATTGGACTTCACCAAAAGTAAAAGCTTTTGTTCTTCAGAGGACACCATCAGGAAAGTGAAAAGATGACCCACAGAATGGGAAAGACTATTTGCAGCTCATATATCTGATACAGGACTTACATCCAGAACAGGCAGGGCAGCTCTCCCAGGGGACTTACCGGAGGGGAAGGGACAGGTCTCTGTCCAGCTGGCCTCAGCTGGTCACAGACCACGTGTAGAGATAAGGCCCCACCAGCATGAACTTGGACGCCAAGCGGACCCTGCCACGTACCGTCCCCGGGAGCTCTGCGGGGTTGGGCAGGCTTCTGTGAGCCGGTGTGTGGGGAAGGCCTAGCCGGACCAGCTCCTCCTCACCACCACACACGGGAGCCATTCCCCGTTTGTTGAATGCCCTTCAAAATTCAGCCAGCTAGACAAAAACAATACCCCTAAGGCAGACAGTTTAAAAAAAAATATGCCCCCAGGTGACAGCTCCAGGGAGTGTAAACAAAATAGCAGATGACCTAGAAGAGGCACCACTGTTCCCAGCTGTCATCTCCAGGTGTGCAAACACACAGATGAGCAAAGGTTGTGAAAGTGTGTGGGTCCGTGAATCACACACAAACACGTTAATGTCGACAGGCAATTGCACAGCATAACCACACAGGCTCAGCTGTTTGGCCACAGGCCAAGAAGACGGCCTGTCCTGGGTTCAAACCTCAGCTCTGAGTCACCAGTCGTGGGCCCCCGACCCACAGCACTGCCTTAGGAGGCCAGTGTCCTCACCTGTAAAGTGGAGCTGATGACAGCACCCGCCGAGGTGGCTGTCATGGAGTTAAATGGGACAGTGCCAGTGACTGCTAAGCGTGAGGCCTGTGCCTGAGTCAGGGCTCAGCCCCTGGCCTGCTGTGATCCCGTGTGACTTCTGCAGCCTCCCAGCTGACCACCTCCCACCCATGCCCCTGAACCCAGCACCTTTAGGCCCCTCTGTGGTCACCCCACCTACACCTCCAGCATTTTCACTCAATCCTCCCTCCCCTCGGGCTCTTCCTAGACGGAACCCCGCTCTCCCCACTTCTCAAATGTGAACAGGTCACCTTTACTTATTGTTGTGGGTTAAATTGGGTCCCCCCAAAATTCGTTCCAGTCCTAAGCCCAGTGCCTGTGAATGGGACCTTATTTGGAAATTGGACCTTTGCAGATGGAACCCAGTTAAGATGCGGTCTCACTGGGATAGGGTGGGTCGTAATCCAATGACTGCTGGCCTCACAAGAGGGACATTTGGGCACAGACACACCCAGTAGAAGGACCTGTGCAGATGGAGACAGGCTGCAGTGATGTCTACGAGGAGTGCTGGCAGCTATCAGGAGCTGGAGAGGACAGGAAGGGCCCTCGCCCGGAGCCTCAGCGAGAGTACAGCCCTGCGACACCTTCATTCCCAGAACCGTGAGACAATGTTTCTGATGTCCTGAGCCTGCTGGTTACATGCAAAGGCTACAGTCTGGGCCAAAGAAAGGTTGGAGAATACGTACATAGTGTGTTTGCTTGTCGCTGGAGAGCACAGCGGGAGCCCCAAGAAAGGGGTGGTACTTGGTTGCACAGTCCTAGGAGACTCACACGCTTACCCTGGTCCCTCCACAGCCTCACTTCCTTCCAACGTTTCTCTGTCCCAGCACTGCTCCCTCCTTCCAGGTTAGTTTCAAACGCTTCCTCTTCATTCAGGAAGCCCTTCCTGAGCATCTGGCCCCCACCTCCCTCCCACTGCCACGGAGCAAGTATGTGCCGCTGTCCCCGCCTTTGCATGGTGCTGTTTTTGTGCCTGACTATATCACCTATCCCATTCTGCCCTAAAGTAAAATGTGTGAGGTGACCCCCTTGAAGGCTTTCAGAACGTGCTTCCTTCCTGGAAGAGGTGATCCTGAACAGGGTTTTGAAGGATGAGTAAGAGTTTACCAGCAGGCCTAGGATTTGACGACTTTGTCACTAGTACATTTATTTAGTCATGTATTCATTCAGTAAGTATTTACTGAGTGACGTTTGTAGTGACTTGTTCACCAGAACGTGGCCCCTGGGAGCAGGACAACACCTCATTTATCCCTAGTCAGGCCCCTCAACTCCCCAGGAGCTCCTAGCAGCCCTGGCTCAAGCACAGCATGAGTTCCTGTCCAGCCAAGGTTTGTGACTCAAGGGCGGTTTTTTCCAAGGGTGGGTGGGGCCTTGGGGACGAGAGCCTTTGGCAGCAGGGAGGACAGGGGGACTCGGAGACTCCTGGGTTAGTGAAAATGGGGAGCATGTATATCAGCTGGGGAGACAGTCCTGAATCCAAATCCATCTCTGCTGCTTTCAGTCCCCCTGAGCGAGTTCCTGGTGGCACTTGCTGGTGGGTACTTGGCTCTACATTCTGCAGTAATGGGAACAGGCCAGCAGAGGGCGCAAAGTGCCTGCTGCCTCCAGGAGACCCAAGGTAGGTGGGCTGCTCTGGGCTCACCTGGTTACCCTTTCCAGGGGTGAGTGGGAGGCTGAAAGGTGGCTTTGAGGCCCAGTGGCCACGGAGCTGCCCTGGGAGGCCTGTTTCACCTTGCCAGTCTGCGGACAGGTCCCCAGCAGAGCTCCAGGATGCAGCTCCTGGCTGGGTGGGACCCCATGTGCTGATCAGGCTTGGGGACAGTGCTGGGGGAGACAGGTATCTGCCCTGGGGGGGGGATGTTATCATCCAGGGGGGTGTCTCACAGGGCCACAGGCAATGCCAACCTGGGCTATGTGGCTCTGCTGGGAACCAGACCTAGTGCTTTGCAGAGATTCCCATCCAGGCACATGTTTAACTCATTTAATCCTCCTGGCAGCCCGATAGGGCAGACAGGATAATCATCATCCCATGTTACACCTGAGGAAACCTAGAAACAGAGAGGTTTAGGAGCTTACCTGAGGTCACACAGCTAGAAAGTGGCAAAGCTGGAGAAGGTGGCCTGGCCAGCTGCATGGGTCAGTCCTGGGTGGACAGCTACCAGTGCTGACTTACTCATTTCTTCAGTGTCTTGTGCAAACCAAATTCCCCTCGTGTAGGGCAGCCTCCCCCCCGGCCCCTGCCCCCACCCCCCCAGCTTCACCCCAACCCTCAGCTGCAGGTGCTTCTGTGCTCCGTGGCTGCACCTGACCGTGAGCTCGCCGAGGGCAGGGACAGCACCGTCTATTTCTGTGTCTGCAGCACACAGCGCTCAAACAGGAGAGTTGAAAGAACTCCCCCTGGACTGGGTTCCTTTAGGTCCCCCCACTTCTGTTTCCCTTCCTCACCATGGGGGTCCTGGCCCACCACCAGCAGTGTCAAAACCTGTGTCCCACCCATTCTCTCTGACGGCCACACTGTGCCAGCAGCGCCCTCCAGGAGCTGAAGGTCAGCGCAAATTCAATGCTCAAGGTTGAGGGCCCACCTGGTGTCTGCACCCCTCCATGATTGGCCTCCCCACCTGCCCCTCCCAGGCTGGCGTGAAGACCCTGGGGCCGGAGGCAGGACTTGGGGACTTGGGGGACTGGTGGCAGGATGGGGTTCAGGATTCAGCAGGGTTCCTCGGGCTGCAGGGGGAGTGCTGAGGTTGCAGCATACTGAAGGGGACGGGGGGACGGACAAATGGTGCTGCCACAAAGGTGGGGCAGGTGGGGTGGCGGCAGGAACTGGGACCAGTCAGGCCTGGTGAAGCGCCGTTTCTCACCGAGCCAATGCAGGAAGCCAGGTGGGTGGTTTGCAGACCCTGAATCAATTTTCTTTTCAAGGTAAAACAAAAAAAAATCTGCCAGGGAAGTCAGGCAGGCAGAATCCAGACAAAGAATAAATAATGGTACTTTGTAATCCAAGCCACAGCCGGTGAGAAGGGCGGGAGCTCTCCACACACGGTCCCCACCCCAACACAGCATGAGTCCGCCAAGGTCACCAGCTGTGAGGGACCGGAGAGGACAAAGACAGCAGATGCCCAGATGCATTGGAGTATTGACAGGGCTGGGGTTTCTGTTGGGGGCAGGAGGGTGAAGCCCATTAGAGCAAACAGCCACAGGGAAAGGTTTGTTTACCCAGAGGTCACAGGGAAAGGAGAGGAGGGCTTGGGCAGGCCAGGGTTCCGTTTCAGCTCTGCCCCTTTCCTGCTGTGTGCCCTCAAGCCGTCACTCGCCCTCTCTGTGCTGCAGCAGCTCACCTGTAAAATGGGCCACAGATGCTCCTCACGGGAGCGTGTGTGCCCTAGCAGACCCGAGCGCGTCCCGCTCCCCTGTAACCCCTGCCTTGCCATCCTGCCCCACCTCCCAGCCCCCCAGGGACTGCAAAGGGCCACACACACACCCCAACCCCGACCTCTTGCGTTGACTCTCTGGACTGGGCCACTGCTCTCCTTGTCTCTTTTCCAAATCGTATCTGTCACGGTCCCCGCAGGAAACAGATGGCACACGCAAGCGATTTTCTGGAAAGGTTTTGGCAAAGGGACTGTTGACAGGCGTGGGAGCGGGGTGAGAGAGCTGATGAGGGAGGCGGCACCCCGGAAACAGACCATCCAAGGTCACCCAGGCACTCAGTGGTGCTGAGCTGGACCTCACTTTGCGGATACAACACAGCCCCTCCCTGCACATGCCACCAGCCTGGGCCTAGGGGGTTGAATGACAGGCACTGGGCAGTGCTGTCGCATTATCAATGAAAGGTAATCGGGACCCTGGGCCAGGGTAGGGGACATCTGTGTAGGAAGTGCTGGGCATGGGTGGGGATGCCTGGCCTAGAAGTTGGGGTAGCCCCCAGCCTCCCCAGTTGAGCTTGGCCCAGGATGGGCCTGGCGGCTGAGAGCTGGACCCCTGAGGCCCTACTGTGTGCGAGCCTGCACCTCACCCAGCTCCACAGCCAGCTCCCCATGCCTCCGCCCTGGCCTCCCAAACCTTCCTGGAAGGGAGCCGGCTAGGAAGGACAGAGCAGGGTGGGCTGGGAACCGCCTGTTCTCAGAGTCTGCGAGTTCCACTGGGACGACACAGAAACTGGGGCAGGAGGAGGGTGGGGGAGGCCCCGACAGGGCGG